CTTCCCTTCTACTCCACTTCAAGACGGGTAAACAATCCTACACCCATTAACAGAAAAGGCACCAATCTCCACGACTTACCCAAAATCACATCACTTCCTGCTGGTGCCCATGCCATTTGCAGGATGCCCCTATCCAAGGCAAGAAGCAATGCCAAGGTTAAGAGATGTGTATTTTATGTTCATCTCTGATGTAGCCTCTCTCACTTAGACACGGTCATTTGACCTCTCCATCTCACGTTCACAAAATGCAGACAAATCAGTCCCCAGGAGCTGCAGGATGAACCTTTCTCATCTCCAGGGGCTTCTGCAGTGCAATGAAGGATTAACTACTTGAGGAAACTCATAGCGCTACAGCTGCAACGCTACAGCCAGGACCACACCATGGAAACACCATGACCACCACAAAACTCCGGATTCTCAACTTAAGTACAGCAACAGTGTCCACACACCGGGGGAGCACCAATCTCCTGTCTCCATGGGATGTCACTGTGAGGATAAAACAAATTCAGTGCAATCCCTGTGTTGAATTCAGTGATTCCTGTGGGCAACACAGCCCCACGCTGCCATGAAGGAGCCTGCGAGGGCTGGGCTTGCCGCTGCCGGTGGGAGCAGGGCCCTCCACCACAGACCTCGGTACCCCGTCCCCTTCTGCTGGCAAAAGCAGCCGAGGCCATGGAGCTGTCTGCAGCCACTCCAATCACCCGCCAGCCCTAAATGTGTTAACCATCCTGAACTGGTTGGAGCTAGCTCCACCAGCCTCTGTAATTCAAGGTGCAGCGTCGCAGAGAGTCTTCTCCTCTCTTTGCCACTCAACTTGTCTCCTGGGTGCTCGGGGATGGGTGGTGTGATATAAATCAACCTGCTGGAGGCTGAATTTTTCTGGGACCGGGGGCATTTGGCACCTGTAAAGCGCCAGGGCAAGGTGAGTCCCAGAAATACCACGAAACCAGCCCAGCAGGCTGTGCTGAGGGAAGGATGCTCGTCAGCCACATACACTCTGCCCCACGGATAAAGGATACAAATCTAATCCTTCACACCTCTGAGACAGCAAGAAGAGCCTAGCAGCACCTCCCAAAGACCTGCTGCGTGCCTGGGCTGTGACATCTTCTTCCAAAGGGTTTTTTTCAACTCAGCCAGCTGTTTGCAAGCAAATCTCACAGCAGAAAGCAAAGCCCCATCTAGCAGAGCAACAGGTGCATTGATCTCGGCAGTCAGCACATCCACCAGCCCAGACAGGGACAAGGATGTGTCCCCCAGCTGCGTCTTCGCAGAAACCCATCCATCCATCACCGCGCAGCGACAGGAGAGAAGGAACGAGGCAGACAGCAACCGCTGGCGTCGAGTCAAGCAGTGCCCAAGCCGAGCTGCGTCAGCAGCGTAAGACTCCTGCAGCATCAATCAGCAAGGCACAACACCAACTCCCTCCTGGGAACATGTTGCCTTGCACCCGGACTCCCCACATATGAGTCTTTAGAAAAGGGAAAGGCTTTTAATCATCACTCACAGGGGGTGGAAACAGAGATACCAGGGGGGAAAATGTCTGCAAGGGGAGGACAGCAGTGACGGCTTCCTCCCCCTGAGCCACATTAGCAGCACCAGCCCAGCTGAGATTAAGCCACTTCACTGCAATACCTTGAGTTTGAGGTTTATAAATTTGGAGTGGGGCTCCTCTCAAAGGACCAGATGTGCCTTATTGCACTTGATGAGGCAGGTGGGAGAAATTAAGGGCACGTTACACTCGCTGGCTACAAAACACCAGCTAGAGGTGCTTTACCTTTGTGAGGTCTCTGTTGCAGCTCTGACACCCCATTTCTTTTCAGCCCTGCAGAGGTGAGGGGGTTCAGGGGAGCTCAGGAGCGGGTTGTGTTTGTAGGGTCCACTAAAGCACCCTGATTTCTCTCGGCTTCCCACAGGATAGAGCAACCCCCTGCGGACAGCCCTGCCGAGGGCAGGTGAAAGGTTCAGAGGCTGTTTGATGGGGGTAAAAAACAGAGCCGGGAGGGAGAGCATCTCTCGCCTATTTAACCCCAGCTGTGCTGCGCTGTGCTCCCCGACGGAGCCCTGCGACGGGCAGGTAAAAAAGGGAAGGGGGGCTGGAAAAATGAAACTGCGTTGGCCGGGAATCGAACCCGGGTCAACTGCTTGGAAGGCAGCTATGCTCACCACTATACCACCAACGCCGCGTTATATGTTCTCCCCCGCCCGGCCCAAGCTATGTCGGACCGGGATGGGGGGGTCCCCTGTGCCACCCTGGCTACTAGCCCTGAGTTGGGGAGTAGCCGGGTTATAATGGCCCAGAGCTGCCCGAGAGGTGCTCTCTGCCGGGGGGAGGTTGTTTTCAACTGCTGCGAGAGGGTCGTTGCTTGCGTTCAAACTCTTGCCGCAGGGTGCTGTTGCATTGGCACTGAGGGGGCAGGGGGCCAGGATCTCTTCGCGCTGGTCAGCAAATATTTGCACAAACTTCTTCTTTTTCTGGTATTTAGAGTAGCCCTCCTGGTCTCAGATGGTTGGTTGAAGAGACCGATGGTTGGTTGAGGAGACTGCTGGGTGGGGGGCTTGGAAAGGGCTGGACACCCTAGCTGAGCATCACCTTCACCCAGGGAACGCAACTTCTTCACAGGCATCCTCTTGGGAACAACTTTTTCAGTTCGGAAAATGGGCTGCTTAAATCCAGAGACCTCCTAGTGGCAGCCAGTAAAACCCTCTGAATATGGCCCCATAAAGTACATAATGTGGTGAGGTATAACCAAGGGTTTTACAAATGCTACTGAGCTGCTTGTATTTCAGGCTTGCTGGGGTACTTGACAATAGCAGATGCGTGAGATATTACGGCAGAAAAGAAAAAAAAAAATCCAAGTCTGTTGCTTAAAGCAGCTGGATTTGATTTACCTGTACCTGAGTTGCAGGGATTCCTGCAGTAGAAGTGAAAATGGCTGTTTCCCCTCAAGCTGCCCCAAACGTAGTGATCTCAGGCAGGATCTATGTGTGAAATCTCCTTCCTGGAGCTGCTGGGAGATGTCCAAAGCTATGCAGTTGATGGGGCCTTCGGTGAAGTTAATTAACCTAGAGTCTATAGCAATAACCCTTGGCAGCCAGCCCAAGCTAAACATGGTCTTGTGCCCCCTTTCACAGCCTCTGAGCAGCTGGCTAGCAAGAAGGCAATCTTCCCCAGTGCTTAACCCTGTAAGGGCTTTTTCCCAGACCAGTTATATGGAAACTTGGTGAGAAACAAAGATTTGCTTTCTGTTTCAATCTACTCTATGCAGATTACTTTCTGTTACTTTTTCTTTTTAACTTGTTTTACAGCCGTTTCATACTTCCAGCCTCATACACCACTCATTTCTCCACCAGCTTCTTTACCTAAGCTATGCCACAAACCAGGGGGTGAGGGGGGTTGACTGTTGTATTGATCACATTCTCTGATGCACCATGGTAGGACGTGTGCGTAGTCCTACAGGCTCGCAGTGATGAGGCTTTCCTTGTACCATCTTCTCTGCATCACAGTTCACACAAAACTTGCCTAATTAGCTCCTGTACAGCTAAGCCTTAGTCCACTGGAGGTCTTGCAGAGACTGTGCAGTCCCTCCTCTGTTGCTAACTTGAAAAATACCTGTTTTAAGCAGATGTATTTTAGCTATTCCATAGTATATTGTTATTTGTAACTTAATATATTTGTATTTCACCTCTTAATTCTCAGATAGTCTTACTCAGTAGGACTCTGCCCCAACTGATCTCATATGGTGCTCTGCCTCTAGAAATCAGTGTTGAGCTTAGGTGATCGCGGTGCTTTCAGAGCTAGACCTGATCACACCTGTATTCAAGCTAGGAAGGGTCCTCTGGGAGCATGTGTCAGCAAGTAAGAGTTTTCCAAGTGTCTACAGGCAAGTATGCTGCAGAGGAAGTAGGAGCAGGGATCTCCCCGCACGCATGGTTGCGTTGCTACGTGAGCTGATTAGCCCAGAACATAGAGCAGCCCTGGTTCTGGGCTGCAAAGCACTGATCTGGAAACCCCGCTCCCGCTGGAGCTCGGGCAGCTGCTGCCAGCTCGAGGGCCTCGGGCTTGTGCGCCGTTCCCTGTTCTGATTTGTGCTTGGACTTTTCAAGTCCTATTGGCTCTCCAGCCCAAAAATGCCTAAATGAACACCAAATGTCTTGTACAGATCATCTAGTCTGAGTTGTCACCTGCTGTGGGTGTTGGCAGAAACCACCTTTTTGGGAGAAGCATTCCACTAACTAGAGATTTATGCCCTAATGGAGAGGAGAATAAATCCTTTCCTAAGCTCCTGCCTCCTCGTGTTATGATGCCTTTTAAATAGCTTTTAATAATAAATAGCTGATAAAGAAGGACATTAGTATGCAAGAACTTGCTTGCAGATACGTTGCGTGCTTGATCTGGGAACGGATGCTGGCTTTGCTGACTGTCTCTCACATAAATTAGTCGGGTGACCTCCAGCAGCTGAAAAGAATAAACTGCTCGTGATTCTGTGAACTGCTGCCCTCTGTTGCACAAATCCAACACAACACTGACACTGTCCTCTGGTTGTAGGGAGAAGAACTAGGAATATATTGGGTGGGAGTTAAAGCCAGCCAGAAAATGCCAGCTGTCTTCCTTGGGGGGGGAAAAACTCCTGAGCAATTATGTTGGTTACGTGTATAACTAAGACACGTGAAGGGTGAAGTGCCAACATTGTTCCTCCAGTCACGGCTGGAGGTATACAGTATTTCTCGGTTTGTGGTATTACTGGAGTATTCCAGGCTGCCTTTGAAGCATGGTGGGAAAATGAGTATTTCCACTACAGAAGTTATCTGGATTTTTATATACCAATAGACAAGCAAAGGACATGCTTTGAAATCTTAAGACTATTCTTTGCTATAATATGTGCGGGGGAAAAAATTGTTGAAACTTCCCCATTGAATAGAGGATTAATCTTAATTTAGTCTAACAGTTAAAGTAAATGTTTTAATACAAGATCCTTAACGATGCTGTTTCTTGATTCAAGGATGACCTCTCAACTAGTCCTCAGCTGTTTACTCCCATGAGCCCTTACGATGCAGACCTTCCGATTCAAACAGCTGAAGATGTGTTGTTCGGTTCTCAATTTAACCAGCCCAAAGAGCTTCCTACAGACTTCTCCTCCGTGGATCTCAGCTTTCTTCCAGATATTAGCCAAGAAAACAAAGAACAAAATCTAGCTGAAGATGGTAATGAAATGCAAAAAGAGCTTGATGGCTCAATTTCAAGAAATGAGGACAGTGGTATCATCATGGACGAAAGCAGATTGTCATATCCAGATGCAACTCAACCATCCCCTGAAGCATCTGGTGTGTGTCCTCCTCTGACACCAATGACTCCTATGACCCCAGTGACACCTGCATCAGAAAGCTCTGGCATAGTTCCTCAGTTACAGTAAGTTTATGTGTTAGATATGTAGCATATATAGTCATAGTTCTGCTTAAACTGCAAGGTACTGCTCTGACTTCTCACTTAGAGAATGTAGCAAGCACGGTTTGGTCTTAAATAAGCCCAGCCAAAAACCTAGAGGGGCGGCTATTCCTCTTTGAGGAGAGGTGGAGCAAAGGAACTGCCAATATTAGAAGGCAACTGGATCCTGTGCGGACCAGTGCAACACATAAATGGCAGTGGCACAGAACACCACCCAGCTTAGCAAAACAGGGGAGAGTGGATTTGATAAACATGCTGGGTGAGTGAGTATTCGAAATGCCTCTGGTTTGTTAAGGAGGAAAAGTCTCTTCTGGGACACAGGAGAGGAAGTCTCTCAAAGGGAGAAGTGCTTGGTAGAAATTATTTATATGTAGTGTGTACTGCTAGTTACCTCAGTCTGCAGGACGAAAAGACAAAAACATTTGAAAGGAAGGATTGCATCCAGCACAGAGGATGTTAAGGATGACACCAGAGTGCAGGGGTTTAAAGATGTCGGTCTGCTTTTCTGAGCGCAGGAACAGTCTGAACTGAGCAAGGGAAACGGGCATGAAAAGAAGTGAGAGAAACTCAGGCCTTGTTAAAAGATCCTGTCCTGTCTAGGCTAGAGCAAGGATGGAGTCGTTTATATGACAATATAACATACCTTTACCTACTTGAAGAGTGCTGTAGTAACTCTGTAAACACTCGGTAGTGGTTCAATTCAAAGCTGTAAAAGACTTCAGTGATGTAGTTCTTGGAGGACACACAGACTCAGTATTCGGGGACTAATAATTTCGTACCTTGTTATATCTCCTCCTGTGAGAAACTGTAATTTTGGTATTGAATTACTTGAGTTTTGCCAAAAGCAGCTTAATGCTAGAGTGGGAGAAAGGTAGGCAGGAAATTAGTTGATGGCAAATATTAATTGGAGTGTGACTTCGCATTAAGCTAATAATGTTGGGGGTTGGCTCTGTAGTGGCTTGCTTCTGCAGTAAGAAAATTCCTCTCTCATTCCTCAGGAATATAGTGTCGACTGTAAACTTGGCATGTAAACTAGATCTAAAGAACATAGCTCTGCATGCCAGAAATGCAGAGTATAACCCAAAGGTAAGTCTTAAGAACTCAAAGCTTCCCCTGCGCTCCCCTTTCTCGGTGCTGCTGGATTCTAATACACAAATTCACTGTGACCTGCGTCCCTTTTCTAATAGCACTGTCTTGAACCACAGAGGAAAGTCATAAAATTCTGCAACTTGGGCCTGTTAAATTAAAATAAATACAGGGGACCACAAGGATTTTGGGGTTTTCTTTGAATAAAACCCTAGGAATGAGACGTTACCAAGCTGTTTAAGAAAGGAGATAAACTCTCTCATCAGGGGCCAGCTACTTCCAGCTGAAAGGGCTCAAGCAGCCCTCACTGAGGGGGGTGGTGGGTTTAAAACTGGTGTCAGAATTAAACAGGATTACTGGAGTCAGACTGGTATTACATGATACTTCTAGCAAGTGGCCTAGATTGCAGAAACTTACTGGGAATAGATTGGGTTTCCGTAAATGATTCCAACAACGTGTAAGGGACAAGGCAGTGGTCCCGTGACTGCAGTCTTAAGCTGCCTGGTCCCAGGGGGATGGGAAATAACTTCAAGGTGGTAAATAAACACTTACACAAAGCAAATGCATGCTGTGTTGAGCTTAGAAAGTGACAATTCTTGAAAGAATGAACAGTGGTATGGTACCAGCTAAATCCCTCAGCTGGACTGCGAAGTCTTCCTTTGAATTTGTAGAGGTTTGCTGCTGTGATCATGAGAATCAGGGAACCACGAACAACAGCCCTCATCTTCAGCTCAGGAAAAATGGTCTGCACAGGAGCAAAAAGGTATTTTTTGTTTTGTTTTTCCTTCCTTCTAAAGGTGTGGGTCTTGCAGCTATGCCTACGTTCTGATGAAGAATGGCAGAAAACCTTGTTTAAATTATCCAGCAAAGGGCTGTCATAATTGCAAGGAAAAAATGAAGCACTGGTATTGAAGAATGTCTAGCTTTCTTCATGATGGCAGTTTAGTAATTACTGAAGCATGTGCTTCTGTCCCTGAATATAGATTGAGCTGAGCAGACATTAGCAGAAAAACTGCTAAAATGCCCAGGAATTGTTAAGGTGTTATTTGCATTTCTCACTGACTTTAAAGTGAGTTAGGATATAACTTGTGTCTGTCAAGTCTCTCTTCAGTGTCTGTGTTCACTAGTTAACACATCTGCCTCTAGAGAAAATGGGAACTGGAGAAAAGCAAAGATTATTTCTGTATTTTGAAGCTCTTTTCTTCAGGCTCAGCAGCTGCCTTGATTTTATTTTTTTTTTATGTCCCTAAACTGCCAATGAGATAATGCAAAAACTTACAGCTTGAGACCTCTTCTCCAACCCCTACAACCCTCGCAAACTAGCTAGATGGCTGTACTGGTGTCTGCAGCCTACCTCTTGGATCAGCCCTGAGAGGCTGTTTTAAGGAACTGAGAAAGAAACCTCTGAAGAGAGGGGAAACTCCTGGGTGATACAACATGCTCTGTTGTGCTCAAATAGACCACAGGAAAGTGAATGTCAAAGTGTCTTTTTCCTTTTAGCTTACCGAAGTAGTTCTAGACACGGAGGCATGCTATTTTAAGCAGTAGAGTATCTTTTTCTGGAGGGCAGATTAGTACGGTGGTGGCTCTAAACTGACTTCCAGCTTGAGAGCAGAAGAAAGCACTAATCAAAGCTGCTTTCCCCTTCTGCTCATCCTTCAGTGAAGAGCAATCACGGCTCGCGGCTAGGAAGTACGCACGTGTGGTGCAGAAGCTTGGGTTCCCTGCTAAGTTCCTGGACTTCAAGATACAGAATATGGTTGGGAGCTGTGACGTGAGGTTCCCCATATGTGGAAGTTAAGAGTTACAACCCCGTGCAACTTGGGGCAGTGTCTTTGTAAGCTGCAAACAGACTCAAATTCTGAGGCTGTACAAGCCTGGGAAAACAGAGCAATAATTAATTGGATGCTGAATATCAAGCATGTCTTTCGCTGAGCAAAAGTGGCTGTAGATGCCGTGTGTTACGATAAAGATAGTAAGGTTTATGTTCTGCAATAACTTCTGAGCAGGGCACGGGCCAAAATGACCCTCTGCTTAATGGCCAGGCTGATGTACAGCAACTAGCAGTAAAGCTTCCAGTGCTTGAAACCATGACTGACACAATTCAACAGTGAAGGGCTCTTCTAAATTGCCCTCCTGTGTGTTATTCACGGCTTTCTCCTCGCAAGGACACCATACACACGAGCTTTAGAAACCTTGCAACTGAGAGCATACTACACAAGTGTTCAGTCACTTCTGGGGTAAACTGGGTGTACGTTAGGTCTGGTGAAGATGAAGAGCTAAAGAACGGCAAGAAGCTCCTGGGTTCTTTGCTCACTTGGTTATTGTAGATATTCTCTTTTGTAAAAGCTTTCTTTAGTCGTGAATATTGTTGGCACAACCTTCAGCGTTGCTGCTGCACACCAGAGATTTTCATTAATCTGAGCTGTGCTGGTGATCACAATTTTACTACTCTCCTGTTATTGCCAAGTGCAATATCAAACCTTAGTGGGTGTTTTTCTTCACTGCAGACCATGTCAATAGGAAACTAACTAGTCTTGATGAAATGTTTCAGGTTTAATTGGAGCAGCTCTTAAGCTACTTGAACCTGGTCTATGCCTTTGCTCTATTGTGAACCTTTAATACTAAGCGGGTCTGGATGTCTACTAGCCACTAATTTAAACCCGTGGTTGAGTGATGGGCATGCTGTGCCTTCAAGATGGGCTTGTTCAGAACTAGTTATTGCCATCACTGAGGAAAAGATGAAGGCTTTGGCACTGACAAAATCAAAATTCAGTTGTCTTTTATTAGCACTGCATTTAATATTTTGCATTTAACTTGGGGACTAAATATATATTAAAGATTCACTTGGCTGTCATCTTGTCTTAGTTGCACAAGATGCTCCCTGATAAGGACTCTTTGCAGACTAAGGAGGATTTGAGTGCTGTTTGAAGATTACAGTAGCAGTATCAATGCTATGGAAAATCACATTCAGAAGTGGCTCAGAAATCTTTAAAAGTAAGCATGAAGAACTCCTACCAGCTCCAGCTAGGACTACCAGATTTTTCTTGAAGATGTCTAAAACTTGATCTGCCTTTCTCTGGGTAGCTAGCTAAAATCTGGGGGTTTCATTACTTCATTGTTAGTATAACTAAAGAGCACTTTACACATACAACACTGAAACAGTATTTGCATTTTACTAATCTTGCCTGCTTGCTTTGAAACAGCTATGAACCTGAACTATTTCCTGGCCTTATTTATAGGATGGTCAAACCAAGGATAGTGCTGCTTATTTTTGTGTCTGGAAAAGTTGTACTGACTGGTAAGTGGTCTCCCTCTGTATATCTGTAACCAAGTGCTACCGCATCTTCTGAAAAAGCGTTTAAATTGAACATTAGCTCAACTAGGATCTTGCCACAGTAAAGCTGCTTGGTGATTTATTTATTTTTTTAATGCCTACTGCTGCTTGTCTGTGTTTTCTGCAGATAACAATCAGTATTGTTGCACTAGAATCTCATATTGCTTCATATAGCGTCTCAGACTTCCACGACGTTAAACTTGAGTATTTTAGTCAAACCATAATGCCATGTGTCAGTGTACAGAATCCCAATGGGATGCTGACATACTTGTAACTACACAGTCACTTAAACATTAATATAACAATAAGCAATTTAAAATTGCTTGGACAGGAAGCAAACTTCTTAAAACACTTCACTGACAACATTTAGTAGGGATTATTAGAGGAAAGGGTGGAGATCTAAGAACTTTGGCAAAACTCACGAGGCAAAAGCCTTGCTGAGTAAGTGTGCTCAGCAGATATCTGTACCTCAGATCCCATGTCAAAAAAGTTGAATTTCCTAACACATTTTTTTGTAAAGATCATGAAAATACTTTTATTCAGATGTACTGAAAGGTAAATGTTATTTGTTCCCAAAGGACTTGAATGCTGTTCCACAACACAGCTTTGAGGTATGTGAAAGACAAAAGAAGCCGTTAGCCAGAAATTCTCACAATCATAAATCATGAATGAGCTCAGCTAACCAAAGAATGGGGCACTCGGTACAAAGCTTAAATGCTTCCCCCTCCAATGTCCCTCGACCACCTTCTTACATCCAGTAAAATCATACTGGCCAGTTCCATTCCACTGATACTTGCGTTTTTGGGTACTCTAATTGCAACATGCTGTGGAGTGTGCAGCAAGCCCAGAAGCTCAAAGGTAAGTCCTTTTCTGTGAGCACTGGGCCCAACTGTAAGAATAAAATTGAATTTGCTGAGTTGCAAGTTGTTTTTTCCTTATCAAGAAAGTAACTTTACTTTTGAAAGTAAAAGCTGTAGTAACGCAGATGAATGTCCAAGTGTGTCCTGAGGGAAAGGTTTACATATTCTTCCTGAGTGCCACTTAATCCAACTGCTAGTTTATTTAAACAGAGGGGGTTTTGTAGCTAATGTTTGTTGTGCTAACATGGTAGAGTAGTGTCACTGTCAAAGAGCGTTTCTGCCTACCGCAGTACAGTTAGTGAACAAGACTTGGTATTAAAGACTTGCTCGCAGTAAGACGGAAAAGGCTGGCTTTGAAATTGCAGGTGCCCTAACAAAGCTTAAAAATAAAAAAGCTTCTCAGAACTGAAAGAAGGGAGTTCTCAAAGTGTGGATTGACTTCCAGTATTGAAATAAACGCTCTTAATTTCGTGTTTCTATCTTTCCACTTTATCAACAGAGCCATTACTTACTGTTAAGCAGATAACACCATGGTTCTTCTCAGTTGCTGGTGGTGTTTTTTTTTTTTTCCAAAGCCAATGTTTTGCACCTGTCAAGAGTAGCCAACTCCTGTTCTGGTTACACAGATTAAACAAAACTAGTCTTGTCTTAAATCAAAGCAAGCTAGAAATTGTTCTCTGATGAGGTGGTAGAAGTATGGTAGAAATTCTGGCTTAAACAAATAGTAAGCTCCTTTTAAACTCTTGTGTTGCTTCATGGTTTGTAATCTTATCATTAGGTTTGAGTTGCATTCAGTTATTCTCAATGCTCTGTTGATTTGTAACCTGTTTTTTTTTTTTTTTCCTAAATGTCTTTCTAGGCGCAAAAGAGCGTTCTGAAATCTATGAGGCATTTGAGAACATCTACCCTATTCTAAAAGGTTTCAAGAAAGCATCATAACATGGCCCATAAAGCAACTAAGAATAATACATGGGTTTGGGTTTCTATCCACGGAACACAAGCAAAGGGTATTCCTGGACCCAATTGCACTGTTGTGGGTTATTAAGCAAATGATACTATTCTGAATGCTATAAAAGCTGATGCCTTTCTATAGTTTGTGAAATGGGTTTTTTTGCTTTCAGATTAGCTGTCTGTAATCCACTTGAGTACTGACAAGCTGAAAAAATTGTCGAATGAATGTAATTTTAATAGAATGCATATTAAGGTGGCACTTAAGTATTTTGTAATAGAAACCATGTGTCTTTTTTTCCCCCTGTTGAACAGGTGAATCAACGCTGCACTTCAAATTAGCTTTATCAAAATCCTCTGCTATAAGCACACTGAAACCTAGCTCCTGCGATGTTCTGTTTTCATGTTTAAACTCAAAATATATTTTTGTCTACAATATAGCTTACAAAATCCAGCATGACTTGATTTCAGTGTTTTGAAGACAGGGATTGCAGAGGATATCTGTTAAATCCCTCTGATCCTACTGGTTGGATAAACTCTTGTGTGTTACGGTGTTGGTACTCCTTTTACAGAGAAGATATTCACAGTGCTGGGACATACCTAGAAAATCTGTGGGTGGAGGGGTAACTAAGCAAATTATCTAATTTGTCATGACACAAATTGGATTTTAACCAAATGGGTACCCACTTGTATTGCTGAAGTCCCCTCAGATGATGGGAGTTTGTTGCTTGGCCCAGACAAAAACATGTTGGTTAGGAATTGCCTTTAAAATGGACTTGAGGAAAATGCAAAGTCTTGGATGCTCAAGGCTTAATTATCTGGGTTATTTAAGCAGAGTTCAGCCAATGGCACTATGTAAAATTTGGTAATTTTGTAGCTAAAACAATGGGGTTCTTGTATTTTATCTCCAAGTGAACTCAAGGCTTCCTTTGCAAAAGGTGTCACGCTCAGGCTGGCGATGTGACTAGGAACAGTGTAAAGACTATCCCTCACTGTTCTGGTACCTTCTATGATTCCCTGGAAGCAAGGGTTTGTTTTTTCTGGAACAGGGTTTTGGTGCTGCTGGGGTTTGTCTTGGGTCCTCCCCTTGTTTCCTGCTG